CTCCTCTTAGAACTTGTTCGTGGGAAAATTAAAGAAGAAATGAAAATAAAATTCGTATTAACCCTTCTAACTGACTTAGGAAAAGAATTAATACAATCTCTCACTATAATCCCTCTCTAACTAATTTAGAAAAAGAAATTACAACTGTTCTATATCGGTATCCTGATTTACAAAAGAAGAAAGGGATCAACGGAAACCCTCCCCTTTGTTTAAACTTGGGTTCTTCTTGGTGTCGTGAAACTTGATTGATTCCTCTTGATAGTAAGAACTTGCAATGCAAGTTTGGAACTCTTAATGAGTTTAGGACCTCTAAACGAGTTAAAGAACTCAGAACGAGTTTAGAACTCTGTAAAAGAGTTGATTTGATCTAACCGAAATCGGTTTATAGTCAATGGTGAAAAAGCTCCAAGAACGGCTCTTGATGATGCTCCAAACTCTCCTCTTTTCCGATCTAAAAATACAGCTCTAGATCTGCCAAAAAGATCCAAAAATCCTGATTTAAGCTGATTTTCAGCTATTTATAGGGAATTAAGGAGTGTAACTAACCCCTAAAATCGCTTCCTAGTTGGTGTAATCCCCTCAAATCGTGGGAAACGGTTTCTGGAACCATTCAACTCGTGTTTGAACGAGTCAAACGCAAAATTTGCGTTCTGGGCACGAACTCTGCGTCTTGGACTTAGGACGTGGAGTTGGGCTTTGCATTTGAGGCCGAAAACGCAGTGGTGAGCCCTGCGTTTTGTTGCTTGGAACGCAGAAGTGAGTTTTGCGTTTTTTTTCTTGGAACGTATAGGTGAGCTCTGCGTTTTGAGTTGAAGAGACAATTGATTTGTAGTCTCTTTAGTTAGAGCGTTGCAAAGATTGTGGTCTTCATCTTGGCTCCTTAGAATGTGAGAGTCATTAGTTATAACTCTTATTGATGATTGTGAAGGCTGTTGAATCAAAACATGCATCGGTTGTTATGAAGGTCGTTGAATTGTAACCTTCTTTGATTGTCGTAAAAGTCTCCAAATTGTAGCCTTATAGAAGTCGTCAAATTATAACTTTAATTATCAGTGCTAGGGGGAATCAGCTATCTGTAGTAAATTTTAGGCAGCCTACAGACTATAGTAATTTTTAGACAGCCTACAAAACCCCCTCCAAAGTTTTCGAAAGTTCGCGGTTGACTAGAACGAATTTTCGAAATACTTTGGATCCTAATTTTGATTTTGGATTAGTTGAGTGATTGTTCATTACATCCACTTTGAAGACGTTGTGGCCTTGATTGCAAACACTAATCACACAAGATCAGTATGAAGGTTCCTATCGTTGCCCTGTTTATGAAGTGCTGTAATAACCGTAAATTTTCGATACATGTTTAAATATTTTTTCTAGTATTTAAATATTAAATTTTATTTTCTAAAAGAGTATTTATATTTTCCCCAGATTTCTAGAATTTTCTATGATTAAAAACCCGATTTTATATTTATTTAATGATTTTTCTAATTATAAATTTAATTGTTACAGTAAAAATTTTTAATTAATTATTCATTATTGTTATTTTTTTTCAAATTATCTTATATCCACAATATTATCACATTTCAAAATAAATAAAATAATGTTTAGTAGTTACATCTTACATTATTACATGGTGATTAGTGTTATAGTTTTCATCTTCTATATATTATAGTTTTAGGGTGACCAGTTTTGAACTCAGACATCTCACCTCTAAATCATCTGCCTCTCTCTCTACAATCAATCTCTCTCTCTCTCTCTCTCTCTCTCTCTCTCTCATTTTCTCTCTCCCCCTTCCTTAATTTCCGTATTCCCTCCTCAAAACTCTCACTCTCACTCTCTCTCTTCTCTCTCTCATTTTCTCTCTCCCCCTTCCTTAATTTCCGCATTCCCTCCTCAAAAGTCTCACTCTTACTCTCTCTCCCCTACCCCACTACCCTAAAACTCTCCTCAAAACCCGCTTCCCCCTCAAATTGTGTCCCCTCTCCCTCTCTCTCCTCTATTATCATCAACCCTCCTTCTCTCTCTTCTCTTATTACTCCAGCTCAAGATCTAAAGCTCTCTCTCTCTCTCTCTCTCTCTCTCTCTCTCTCTCTTCCTCCCTCTCTTTATCTCTCTCTTCTCATCTCTCTCAATGAACCCACCCAAGCTCGACCAAGCCCAAGCTCGTCCGACCTCATCACGTGCGTCGCCTTGTTTGACTGCCACCACCAACCCGAGCTTCCTTCTTCCGCCACCGGATGACATT